CTCATCACTGCACAAACCCTGGGGGTATTTCCTGGTCCTATACAGTTTTAGGAGACTTGAAATTGGTTTTGTCTTCTTATACCGTTACTATACACTGTATTCATAGGTTTTTCTATACTAGATATACCATATATTTATATACTATTTCTATACTATACACCGGCTTCATGGTTTCCAACTAGTGTGTTCGGCTTTGGCATACGCCTCCAATGCCACCTCTGTCCCGTAGATGGCACGTGAACATACTCAGGTCGCCGACCACATACAAACGCCGGTTACGGTCTGCCTGCGAGACAGCTGGGCCACTGACCTGACCTGATTTGATCCGATTTGACCTATGATGCCCCGCGGGAGCACGTTGACCTGGAGGCGCACGTTGGCGGGTAAGGACGGCGGTGGTGACGTTCGACTACAAGAGCGCACCCCCGCGCGGCTGGCAGGAGGGCAGAAGGACTGGTCCCACCGCGAGCCTGAGGTCAAGTGGCATGACGACGGCAAGTGGGAGCCGCACCAGTGGTGACGGCGCCCCGCTCGCTCGCCGCTTGCGCAGTGCTGAAGCTGCGCGTGACCCGAGAACGGTCTGAAGTCGTTGTGTAGTGTGTGGCCATGTCATGATCGTGTCAAATATAGTGGTGCATGTGTCAGCCGAGTTTAAGCTGGTTGTGGTGATTCCCGTTTTGTTTACACTCGGCACTTCGGTAGGCCTGGAATGCGACGGATTTACGTTATTACTACATTTTGAATTGTTCGTTGCATTCGTTACCTTTATTCTATGACATTTAGCGCCTTCTTTGTCAACTAGAAACGTAGAACTTGCTCGGAGATATTTTCGAGTCTGGCGTGAAAGGGAAAATGCAACGAAATTGGACAGTCGGTTCCCTATGCATTTCTCATTGTCAACGCTGAAAACTACTTCACGACCGTTACTGGCAGGCTTACGTGCGATCACCTGTTCTCCAACTCCAACAATTCATAATTGTCTACAGCGGTAGGTCTGGCCGTTTGAATGCACGGAAAAAGTGTTGCAAATGTTCTAGGAATGGCAATGTCTGCAATTCAACTGCGGTGCATTTATGACATGTCTGCAATCCAGCTGTGGCGTATTCATGACAAGGCACGACGCGTTGCGTATCGCGGCATATTTCTCTTCCTGTTCGTTGCTTAGCGGTGGTAACTGGTGCCGGTTCGCTCGCTTGATGCTGTGACCGCCCCGACACTACAAAATGCTGCAGTATTATGCATTACAGTGTCGATATACCGTGCTCCGTTTGGGAGCTATGCAAACCGCTGATGACGGCTTTGGCCGTTGGTGGCACGCAAATCGGTTATCGCTTTGGACCTGGTCTGTGCAGCGATCGGAATGACCGGACTCCTAGCCCATTGTCGACACCGCTGTGCGCCGTTCGGTCTGGAAACGCTGCAGGTCTGCAGGGCGCAAGCAGCGGCTCCGTGGAAACCCTATCCCCACTCTGTGAAGATAGGTGGCGTCACCCGCCCCAGTGTCGTCGCTTGGCCGGCTCTCCACAGCCGTATCCCTCCTCCCGTAGCTATTGGCGGCGCTTCTAACGGTCCTGGGAGCGGCCAGGGTTCCAGGTCGCAAGCCAATTGACTTTGATTTTACGAAGTGGGGATTTGTTCCCTCCATTTTAGCCAACATCATTCACACCTCCCTCCGTCCAGAATTGCCTTCGAGATGATTTGTCACTTTCCCCATCCCAGAAATGTGGTTGTACCCAAGTGCGCGTCTTTCGCGCATTCACATCTAAGCCGTTCTGTCAGGGCTTGGAGACGTACCTTGTGGACGCCAGACACCGCCGTCAGCCGGCTCAAACATGACACAGGCGTGGCTAAAATGATGTTCGGGCAAGCTAAGCCTGCAGCAAGCCCACACAGCTGTTTTAGCAATTTCTTTCGTAAGATTACGCACGTGCATTCAGGGAGCACCGATGTCGCTAAAATCACAACTACCGTTCAAGAAAAAGCTGAATCAATCGGATATCAGATTCTGCTTCCAAATACGTCGTGCTATTAAAAACAACGGGGATGGTAGTCATGACTACTATAGCATCGAAGTCCATGGAGATAGCACTGAATTGCGACGCCGATGGTGCTGAGAACTGAAAGTCCTCGGTCGTTGGAGCGGCGTCATTCACCGTTGTAGATGACATATACCACCATTATCCGAACCTTGTCGGCGCAGACGGCGTTATTCTACCATAGAGGTACACTTTTTTGTCTTTTTTGTCGCCACCCTTTTGCCCCGGTCTCGTGTTTCATGGCTTCATGGGTCGTGCACCGCATTATTTCTTCCACTGACGTAATTTAGAACTGTCGTAGAAGGAATGAGATAGCGTTTTGACTTAAGGTTTATACACAGCCTTGCGCATTGCGTTCCCGGTGCGCTACGAGTTCCCGGCGATTGTTGCCGCTCGGACGGAGGGCGTGGGTTGCGTGTTTGGTTAACGTGTTGTCCGAGTGGAGATGGCTTCGTTGGGGCTGCGTATGGGTTGTGCATTTCGGGTTATTACCCCGTTATGTTTAAAGCGTGTTCAAAACAGCTTAACTCACCATAACTTCCACTGTTCCGCGCGAAGGCACCTCTCCGTTTCATCCCGTCGTCTAGCTGGTATGTACCCATGCGGTCGGCGGTACCTCTTCTATAGCCGTGGCCAAGATTTGAGGCCGAGGAGGGCTCATGGAAATACTGGTATTCTAAGGGGCTGGACGTCTTGCTTGTAGGGCCAATCAAGTGATGCGTCCCTAGGAAAATTGTTCCAAGTCAACTGTAGCTGATGGGAGTCAGTTTTGCTCAGTTACACAGCTCTGTTTTGGCTTTCATTTTTTTCTGTAAGCTTTTTCCATACCCTGTGGTAGTTTCAAAACACTGCAATTGCAATGCAGGTCCAAAAGATGACATGCCACATGTTATGTACCAACCTTGATGGTTTTGAGTCATAACAGTGTTGTTTTTAGCATGTTGGAGGTCATTGACAAGGCTTTTTAAGGGAAGGGGAGTATTAACTAATCTGCACTCATTGTTGATGGCCCTGCGCCCTTCTAGTGGCTGCATATGAAGCCACACTTTAAAATGAATGACACTTTAACATGACAGGTTTCCACAGTTCTCCTGATTCTTATTATCTGTGTTCCTCTCAACAGCTATGAATGGGTGTACTTGAAATGCATAGATACAATTTTGTTATTCTGTGCTGTCTGGCCATTCATTTTCAAGGCAGCTCGCACAGTTTGGGTGATATTGTCTTCTCTGACATCAATTAATTTAATATTGGAATACTGACCTTAAGTGTTGCAACATTCTGCAGAGTCATTGGTGCAAAAATGAAACATTCTGACAACTTCTCTAATAATGACCTACAAACTTTCCATGTATCTTGGGACCTATATCCAGTGTGACTGATATTTTGCCTGTTTGCCATTGCCTGGGCCTATACTGTGGAGGCTCATATGTTAGAGTATTGCCACCCTGGATCGTCATATGCACTTGAATGTTTCAATAATGTAGCATAGTATTTGGGTCCGTTAAGCATCTAATTACAAGCAGCAGTGGTGGAGCTTTGTGTGGAAGTTGCTGTCATAGTCTGATGAATACTAGCTTTGTGATTAGCTTGATATAGCTTTGATACTAGCCAACATTCCAAAAGTAACTTGTGACTTGTATAAAACAAGCCAGATCCCCTAAGCTTTGTGAGCCGCATTTATCAACTGAAGACAAGGTCAGATGTTGACTCAGGCTATCTTCTTCAATGAACATACACAAGTGGAATGAACTTGGAATGAGTGGAATAAACACACCATGAGTGGAGGCTTGCATGCATTGTGCATGCTATGAAAGCTTGCTAATTTTGATTTTCACAAAACAAACAAAATGTCTGCACATGTAGCTCTCTAGCCTGGCAAACAGCTTTGAGCTTTGGTGTTGCCACTTTTGCCCTTTGCTTCAGGCCACAATGGCCTAGACTAAAACTCTGCCATGATGAAAGGAGACCTGGTGGATATTTGCCTCCCCCAGGCTTTGTTAGGACCACTTTCTACCAGTGTGTTGCAGCACAAAGAGAAAGCTCTTGTGAAAAAGAAAATACGGCATAAATCTGGAGTTTGCCACCACTTCCTGCATATAACTAAAAAAGCCAGCTTTGGTGGGGTCAACTGCTCTGACAAGCCTGTGTGATGCTGCGGCGTCGGAGGACGTCCGCACGGTGGTGTGGCCTGCGCCCTCCTCACCTCGATAATACTGCCGGGACAGCACCGGCGGCTTCTGCTGCATCCGCACAGGGGTGCGTGCACACCTGCAACGCCCATCATTGGCTGGCGGCGATGTCGCCACCCCACCCACAGATTTGTGTGTCACTATCGACGTCGAACAGGACGTAAGTGTTCAATCGGCTTCTGGTTGATCGGCCAGCCTGGACCGGACTGGTGCCGTGCCTTTCCCCGGCCAGACAGCCTGGACCAGACTGGTGCCGTGCCTATACCCGACCAGACGGCCTGGACCGGACTGGTGCCGTGCCCATCCCCGGCCAGACAGCCTGGACCGGACTGGTGCCGTGTCCATCCCCGGCCAGACAGCCTGGATCCGACTGGTGCCGTGCCCATCCCCGGCCACACAGCCTGGACCGGACTGGGTCCGTGTCCATCCCCGACCAGACAGCCTGGACCCGACTGGTGCCGTATCCATCCCCGGCCAGACAGCCTGGACGAGACTGGTGCTGTGTCTATCCCCGGCCAGACAGCCTGGATCCGACTGGTGCCGTGTCCATCCCCGACCAGACAGCGTGGACCGGACTGGTGCCGTGCGTATCCCCGGCCAGACAGTTGCTCCCGTGTCTCGGCTCTCGCGCGGGCGTGACTCGCCCGGCCTCTGACGACGGTTGATGGAGACGCCTCCTCAGACGTGGTGCTGACCCCCTGCGGCCCCGGCCGTCGCGCGGGCGTGACTCGCCCGATCTCTGACGACGGTCGGTTGCGCCGCCTCCTCAGACGTGGTGCTGACGCCTTGCGGCCCCGGCTCTCGCGCGGGCGTGACTTGTCCGGTCTCTGATGATGGTCGGTGGAACCGCCTCCTCAGACGTGGTGCTGACCCCCTGCGGCCCCGGCTCTCGTGCGGGCGTGACTCGCCCGATCTCTGACGACGGTCGGTGGAGCCGCCTCTTCAGACGTGGTGCTGACCCCCTGCGGCCCCGGCTCTCGCGCGGGCGTGACTCGCCCGGTCTCTGATGATGGTCGGTGGAGCCGCCTCCTCAGACGTGGTGCTGACCCCCTGCGGCCCCGGCTCTCGCGCGGGCGTGACTTGTCCGGTCTTAGACGACGGTGGGTGGAGCCGCCTCCCCTGACGTGGTGCTGACCCCCTGCGGCCCCGGCTCACGGCCGCGTGCCACCGCGGGGGATGCGGGGGCACGAGCTCAGGGAGAGCGCCGCCTCCCAGGGTGTACCGCGAACCTCCCGCGGCTACTCAGCGCCCTATTAAGTTGATTCCGGCGGTGCGTGATGTGGAGGCCACCACCTGTTCAGTGCCATGCCTATTCTTGGTACGCAGCGTCACTCTTCAGTTGTCATGTTCACGTTATCCTCTGGCGCGTAGACTATCTCCTTTGGTTTTTGGAAGGGAGAAATCACCAATGCCTTGATAAAAGCGGGGTTTCTCCTGAGATGGCAGATGCGGCTCAAAAATCGGCTGGCCTTTGACGTAATCGCCGTACTTTGTTGATCTGGCGTAGGTAATCGAGGTATGATGAGACGTGATAACTGCACCTGTGCTATCTGCCAATGTGCTATCTGTTTTGCCCCAAGCAGCAAATAACCGAAAACTTGCGTGAAACTGATCTCGCAGGGCACATAACCCTAAACCAGTAAATCAACCTGACCTGAAGACGCTTTTACTCGGGATTACGCCTGAGCACATTATATTAGGCCTGGCCAATGTCTTCATGACGTCGGACGACGATCTGTTGCGCGAGAGAAAAGGATTCATCAGTCAAAGGAGCAACGTTACTCTGCGTCTGACCAGACAGCGTGTGCACTTAACAGCCTTCCGCCCTGTCCAGCCCCTTCCTCCACCCCGCCACTGGGGAGACAGGCGCGTGCGTGGTCGGTTGTTCGGACGGTGGCTGGCTCGCGGCGCCGCACGAGACGCGTCCTGTCGTACGGCGGCCAGACGCCACGGCCTGTTTACGTTACTGCGACGCCGGACTCGCGTGCTGCCGCCCGGCCACCGAGCCGGGGCGCGGCCATTTTGGCCACCAGAGGTCAGCTGTGTCGCCCCTGGGCGGTACGCCGGGCTCTGCCAGGTGACCTTAGTAGCCAGCATGCCCAGACGCGCAACACAAGAAGAAAAAGGCACATGCCGGCTGTCGTGCTCTATCTCTAGATCCGAGTCGTCTAGCCCCGTGGGACTGATTAGCCCCGAGGGGCCGTCTAGATCCGAGGGACCGTCTAGCCCCTAGGGGCTGTCAAGCCCCTCGGGACCGTCTTGATCCAGGGAACCATCTAGCCCCGAGGGACCGTCTAGGCCCCGAGGGGTCGTCAAGCTCTTTGGGACCATTTAGACCCGAGGCACCTGCTAGACCCGTGGGCTAATTCTGTTATGTCTCTGCTAATCACCTCGGGCCTTTAGTTAGTCGTTTTTCTCCCAGAGAGTGGCCTAGCCTGTCGTTTTCTCGGGGAGACGTTGCTATGGATAAGCTGGCATTACCGTTTCAGAGAAGATGGGGGCTCCAGCCACAGGGTGGGTCTGGCCGACCGGGATCAATGGGATCGTTACTGTAAACACAGCAATCTATTACAACATATTTTCACGCAATACGATAAACTTGGTCAGACCTGACGACCTGGGGGATTAAGCTCACATGAGGTGCAGGTATGTGCCCTCCACGGCGGGGCCGGGACATCTTGGGGTAATAAATGCTTCATCTCGCCGAAACATCTCCGCAGCATTCATTTCTCCAATCAGCAAGGCGGCCATGTTAGGTTTTATTTAAGCTCCTCCAAGATTTGTAACACGGATGCAGTCCGGGCTCTTACACAGCGTCAGGCAGTTAACCACGTCAGTGGCGTCCCAGCCGTTCGTCTTCCTCGCGCCGCGTGGCGTGGCTGGCGCGCGGCGCGCGGCGCGCCGCAGGGTCGTGACCGGTGCCCCGCCTGCCGGCAGAGCTCAAGTACACGGAGCAGCACGAGTGGGTGCGCATGGAGGGCGGTGTCGGCACCGTCGGCATCACCGCCAAAGCCGCCGTGAGTGGGCCGCTGCCGGCCTGCCGCCGGGGCCGCTCCCGTCCGTGCCGTGGTCTGCGCTCGGGACCCACGGGTGCCGCTGGGCGTTTGTTTATTTGCTTCAGACATTGATGCATGAATGTTGTCCGTGGGTGTTCTTAGCCAGGAGCGTGGAAGTCCAATCCGTTGGTGAGTGCGCTGCGCCGGGTTGCCTCATTTGAGCGGATGCTGCTTGTCCGGGGCACAACATGGTGATGAGCGTTGTGGCGTGTTCTGCGGGGTGTTTGTGACGATGCCTAATTGGGCGGCGATGTTTCTTTTGGAATGCGTTTTGGGCCCGGCAGTTCGGAGGCGGCCATTTGTACTTGTGTTGTTCTTTTTGCGCCTGGGTGTTCGTGAGGCGGAACGTCGGTGTCAAGGTCACAGGATGAGATGAGCGGTGGGATTGACTGTTGGACCCGGAAAGGTCAAGTGCTGCTTCACCACGAGCCCGTGACTTCCGACACGTTCCAATAGCAGTCGCCTCCGGCTGCCAAATACCGCCGTGGTGGGCTCACACCATCGCCGCCCGCTGCCAAGTGCTGCGGTGACGGGTCTGACCCCGTGGCGACCGATTCGCGTCGTTAACAGTCACCACCTGCTTCTTCACTCCCGCAAATTGTTGTGTTTGTTTCGTGCATCGGGTCGATCGCATTTGTTGTTTACACCTTGCATGCGTCCATGGACCCCAGTGGGCAGTGCGTCGGCCGTGCGTCGGTCCCTGCCCTGCCGTCGGCTCCTGCACCGCCCGATGTGACGTCTTCACCGGTGTTGAAGGCTCCCCTCGCCATCCCCGCGCAGCGCCGCCTCCCTGCGTCTCGGGCCACGGCTGCTGCGGTCCCCGCGACACGGCTCGCCCTCCGGCGACGAGCCTTCGCTGCGTGCAGCGGCCCAAGAGCCGGAGCGGCGTGCGCCGGCCCGGATGAGCCTGCGCTCTGTGCGGCGGTCCAAGAGCCGGAGCGGCGTGCGCCGGCGCCGGGCCGGCTCCGCGGTGACCGCGGCTCGGCACGGCGGGGTCGCGGCCGCGGGCACCGCGTGACCGGACCTGGCCGGACAGCTGCGCGCCGGCCTTGTCAGCGGCGAGCGGCCCACCTGTGCTCGTTATGCCCCCCCCCCCCTTCCCTCCCACTGGTGCAGAGGGAGACAAGGGTCAACTGGGGTCAGTGAAAAATCGGGGAAACCATTTGTGGAATCTGCGCTGCTTCAGTTCGTTTACCCAAAATGGCATGAGCTTAACATGAAATGAACATGCAGGTACCATTAGTTCTGCTATGCCGCACCTCACTTTTGTTTCTTAAAATCGGAGGAGTTATTTGCTGAAATGTAATGAATGCGAAGCTCATTTGTTTGCCATTCGTGAACCGAGCTCGCGTGTACTGTTCACTGTACCATTTAAACGGCAAGCTTGATAGCCGAATAGCTGGCTATAAATAGCCAAGTCATATTTAGCAGGAGATCCCTGCGCCAAAACACGAGAACGAGTGACCAGCGACGCGCCCGGCCTTCGGCGCGGCTGGGCCGGCCGGGTCAGCCGCGGGCCGCGGCCGCCGGTCGGTAGCGGTCCGGCCCGGCCCGGCCCAGCCCGGCGGTGCCGTTTGCTTACAATGGCTGCGTCGCTCGGCCGGCCGGTGCCGGGTGCCTGGTGCGGCTGGCCTGTGTCAGCGTGGCGACGCGCTGTCCTCGCCTCGGACCTCCGCTGGCTGGCCGGCCGGGCGCCCGCGAACCGACCCCTGAGCTCAGGGTCGCGTGCTGTGTCGCGGCATGAACGCGGCGGCCTTTCGGGCCCCGTGTTCACGACATTCGGGGCTGAATAAGGATGAACTGTGCCGCGGCGAGCGGAGGCCCAGTGTGCCGGGATAAACGGCGGGCGCGATGCGTGGGCGACCTAGTGACATGTATGGCGTGAGCACGCGCGTCTCGCAGCCCTCTCGCCGGCAGCCGGCGCGAAGCGGAGCGTGACACTACTGAAACGTGACGCTGCCGCCGTCTGGTGCCGTTGCAGGAGTCTATGGGTGACTTGGTGTACGTGGAGATAGCCGAGCCGGGACAGGAGGTGGATCAGGGCGGTAAGGCGGTCTTCACATCATCCGTTTGTTAGCCTTTATTGAAACCAGTTATCAGCGTCTCTTAAGGTATCTTCATCTTTGAGTTTAGGCTTTATATATATTTCATCAGTAGATTGTTGTGTAGCATTATCCGCCGCCGCCCGCCATTAGCAGGAAACAGCCGGCCGCCGGCGTCGTTTCCTGCGCGTCTGTATGCTCGCGTCCGAGTTGTGTAGCCGCCCCGCCCGCTGTGAGCTTGTCCGCCCTCTGAACGTGATGTCCTTTCACCCCTCTCATCATTTAAGACTAGCACAGGACAGTAAACACGTGCCCACTGCATGCGTGAACCTGGCCCGTGGCCCCACCCGACCCGAGCTCAGGGCCCCGTCTGGCGGCAACTCAGGATCTCCCCGGCCCGTGACCCTTGCCCAGGGCCCCGTTTGGCCGGAGCTCAGGGCCCGAGGCCGCAGGTCTGACCTGACGAGGCCCCGAGCCGCTGTTATCCGCACGTGACGTGACGCGGCGTCGCCTGAGCGCGCTCCCGGCCGCCGCCAGACGAGTGCGGATCGGTGGAGAGCGTCAAGGCTGTGAGCGACATCTACGCGCCCGTCTCGGGCAAGCTGGTGGAACGGAACGCCGATCTGACCGAGACGCCCGACCTGGTCAACAAGGACCCGTACGGCGAGAAAGGTGAGACTGCCGGCGGTGCGGCCGTCGTGCCCGCGCCGCCGCCAGCAGCTGGAGCCGACCGCGCCGCCGCCTGCAGCTGAAGCCGGCCGCGCCACCGCCTGCAGCTGGAGCCGCCCGCCCTGCCGCTTGCAGCTGGAGCCGGCCGCGCCGCCGGCAGCAGCTGGAGCCGGCCGCGTCGCCGGCAGCAGCTGGAGCCGGGCGCGTCGCCGGCTGCAGCTGGAGCCGGCCGCGCCGCCGTGCTGTCCGGTCGGCCGGTCTGGGGCGTGTGTCAGGCGGCGGCGCCGGTGTCGCCATCTGAAGCCGATCGCGTCGATGCTAGCCGGCGTAGTGTAGCCGCCATGGCGTACTGTGGCAAGGATGGCTTGGTCCGGGCTTCTGTAATTGGAATGACTTTTGTTCACCTATTACTTTCCTTTAAACATCTCATCGACGGTATTTTTTTGCCGTACCATGACCGGGCGCTACCACTGGCATTTTCGTTTATGTGTAGTGCGAAGTTTACCTTAGCTCCAACAGCTATGTTGCTTCCCTCAGGCTGGCTGTTCAAGATAGAGCTGTCCAAGCCGTCAGAGCTGGAGTCGTTGATGACGGAAGAGCAGTACAACGTCTTCATCAGCGAGGAGTGACGACTGCGCCCACACCCGGCCACCTGCCCGCCCGACCCGCCGCTGGCCTGTCCGCCTGACCCGCCGCCGGCCTGCCTGCCTGACCGGCCGCCGGCCTGCCTGCCTGACCGGCCGCCGGCCTGTCCGCCCGACCCGCCGCCGGCCTGTCCGCCCGACCCGCCGCTAGCCTGCCTGCCTGACCGGCCACTGGCCTGTCCGCCCGACGCGCCGCTGGCCTGTCAGCCCGACCCGTCCCCGCCCCGCCGCGCCTCGGGCGTCCGTAGTGTGCAAGAGGGGTTAGTGATGGTACACTCAGTGACGCGGTGGCCGACGGAGCGGGAGGCGGCCACTGGGGCGTCCCAGCGGCCGCGGCGGGAGGCGGCCGACGGGGCGCCCAGCGGCCGCGGCCCGGACACGGCGCGCCGGCTCGTGCGCCACGGCCGGTGATGCAGGATATTCACTTCCGCCGTCCGCCGCCTGCCGGCGGGGACGCGGTGAAAGCTGGTGCTATGTTGTCTTGCAGTCTTCGGAAGCCTGTCTGCGTGGAAGACGGGCTCTCGCGGTGTGCGTTTTTGTACGGGGTATGGCCGCGTCATGTTAAGTGCAATATGAGATAGGAGTGGAGCTGTCCATTGCAGTGTACGGAGTGATAAATATATAGTGGGATTTGGCGTCCCGAGGACTGATGACAGCTCACTGCTGCAGATCTTCATCTGAGAAAAGTCGAGGAGAAAGGCCCTCGTCGTCCGCTCACGGAACAGAAAATGATGGGCGGGACTGGTGTCTGTGATCTGCTGGGCTTCGAGTTTTTTTTATAAATTTATTCCTAATGGTCTGTACGGGTGACTTCGGGTTCAGAGTATCCGCTAAGCATAGCTTGTTGCGTGTACCCCGAACCCACCTCCCAAGTCGTGCCGTCCAGTTCAACAGATAATTTTGCCTGCACCCTTCTGCCAGACAGGACTGCGGAGGTTTTTACGCCCCGCACAATGCTGCAGCACGGCCGCCCCCTGGCCCGCGTTGACCCTCGTAGGGAAGCAGGCAAACACTCCAGAAAAAAGTTGAACCGGGCCTTTGTCATCTGATATATTAGCACCCTTCCTCGCGAGCTGAAACCCCGCTAGCGTGGACACGCCACGAGTCTTGTGGCGGCGGCCGGTGCTACACGTCCTGGCGTCGAAGGTTGCAGTTGTTAATTACAAGCGTTACATAAGTCACACAGTGATCTGCCATTACGCTTTGGATAGCTTCACTCTCGTTGAACTTCCCTGATTCATACTGTTTAAGTTGTTTTCATTTTCAGATTGTGAAAAACCACATGCCGTGGCCGTGTGAGGAAAGTCCCGCGCTTTAACGCGCGCCTGGGTGGGGGCCAATATGCGCCCCCCCCCCCTCCGAAGAATTTTACAGAATACTTCCCGAACAAGGCAGCGTGGCTGGACCAAACTTCGCACAGGCTGCAAGTACTTGAATAGCGGATCGTGTAGTATAAGATTTTTAGGTGCACTCCGTAAGGTCACTGATCTATCGCAGGTAGATGTCGGTACATCGCTGCCAGCGAAGGCAATTCCTGAGAAATGTTCAATCTAATGCGCCAACGGAGTGTTACACGGGGTCATACATCTCCGAGATGGTTTGTGGGGCAATAAGGCAATTGAACTTTGGGATTGCATTAAATTCCACTGACCTTGGATCGGGTATGAGGTTCAGACCGAGGCTTAAACCAACCTGCTTTTTCGTTTCTGGAGTCTATTTTGAATCATTGCTAACAGGGATCGCACAAACGTCTCCATAGATTTCTTGAAGGTTAGAGTAGGGCACAGTCACGAAATGGTCCAGGTCAACATTTTTACGAACACCGCTCAGTAACATTCTTGACGCTTATTCAAAGGAAGAAATTAAGAAAATTTGGTAGGATTTGTCACCATGACCTCCGAAAGGAAAGGCAAAGTCACTGACCTTAAATGAATATCAGTGACCTTTTCTTAAGGACATGTCGAGGCGATTGCATGAGGAGGTCGGGAGCCACTTTGGACACCAATACGGAGTTCCACTATGTTTGACCTTAGTCGACCCGAAGGCAATAATCTAAGCACCTCAAATTTTGACACAAGTAAGTTAACATACGGGCCAACGGACCTTGTGAATTTTGGGTATCTAGCTATCTTAGTCCTCTGAGATATCAGGAAATTAAATTTGGTCCCCACCCGAGCACAGGGTATTCAGCCGCCCCCCCCCCTCCCGGGTGCGTGTTAAAAGTAAAAAGTTTGGCAGCGTGCTGCAAGCCCATTCCTTCACCACAAGCCAATTCCATGAGCCCATTTCTTCTGCACAGCATTCTCCCTACAGCAGCTCTTGATCATTTGTTTTCTTGTATTCCGTGCGCGGGGGAGTTGACTTCCTACCTACGGTTTTTCGAGCACCGGCACAAAACAAATGCTCGCAGCAGCACACAACTTTCATTTCATGTTCATCTATTAATTTTGCATTCTTTGAACAAAGACAAAACAGTGGTAGTAGCCTTATTCCTTGGAGAAGAGGCAAGAGAATCGAGATATAGATGATCTGTTATTTCGGCAACATGACATTGTCAAAACTATGACTTCTGTCACTGTTTTGAAGAAGGCATGTCGTCGAAATATCAACCCATCTATATTTCCATTCTCCTGGTTTTCCTCCGAGGAATCAAGCTATACTATTGACTTATCTATGCGAATAATGTTCCTTGCAAAGGCACTGAACAGCTTATGTAATTCTTTGTACAAATTTTAAGCTTTGATCTAGCAATACCAGTGACCTAAGACATCTTAAAAAGGTCAATCTTGAAAACTTTTGACCACATCTAGCTTTTTGTGAACGATTTGCCGTTGTTCAAACTTGTTATAGTCATAAAATATGGCAATACTTTAATTTTTCATTTAATATTTTTGGGAAAAATCGTGGTCTTTGCCGTGAAATCGGGTAAATTTTTGCTATATTTCTTAAATAACGCAAAATTGGACGCATGTTTATATAGTTTTGGTGTTTGCATATAAAGAAGAGTATTAGTATGCACGCACAAGCACCATATAACCACAGAGCACGTGACCTTAGCCCAGGTCATGGCATACCTATATGGGTATCGTCTGCAAAGCGTATGCTGAGCTCAAAATAGGCAGGCTTGGTAGGTAAGCCTGGACGCAGAATTTGAATACTCTGCTGAAAAAAATGCTGTTATATCACAACAATGCATTTTTAGGTCACAGCAGGTAACGTCAGGACAGGCAAGGTCATATGAAGCCATGCAAGGTCAATGTCTTATGTTGCCAGTTGCGGAGAGGCTAGATGAAGGAATGCCATGCGTTTAACCACCTCCTCATCGTGTTGGTAAAGCCGACGGCGTATAATTTCATGTATCGACGTATCTGTTCTAAGTTTGCTACAAATACATTGCCAAGCGTCGAAGGGACTGTGTAGCGAGATATTAGACAACAGCTATGTGATCTCAAGTACCTGTAGATGTACAAGACACTATTTCTAGCCACAGAAAAACATGCTCTGGTCACTTATACCCGGTTAGCATTTAAGTATTTTTAATCATCTTGATGGCCTATGAATTTGACCCTAGCAGAACTCCGATGATCTTTAAGTCATCCTAGAATGGTATTTTGAGTCTGGAATTTTTGTCCGCGGCCGCACATAAAATGAAGTTAGCCTGAAGCACATTGCGAAAAATTATCCTTATAGGTTACTGGTAGGTCAATTTTGAGCGGTGACTTGATCTGATCTGAGCTATGTGGTGAGCTGAAATAGTCGGAATGGACTCCACACAGTCTTGACGCTTATTTCGTTGCGCTCAATATCCTCTACCAGAATGATTGTTTTTGACCTTCGGGACCTCTGCTTTCCTGACATTTGACCTAGAATAAAAATTTGGTGTACACTGCATGATTTGCTAAGACCTTCAAAACAGTATCTAAACCATTCTTCCTCCCATTTCCCTATCAACCACATGCTATCTATTGCTTTTCTCATACGGCGGCTGGGGGCTGGATATCCCAGGGAAGTCAATTTTCCTCAGCCGGGCGCGGATTAAGGCTTACCTACATTCAGCAGATTCATCACGCTTCTTACGCCCCGAACGTGTGCAACTAATGTCTACCGTAGCCCCCTCCAAGCCATTTTTCATTTTGAAATGGACTGGAGGAGGATAGCGGCGAGCTTTAGGGATGGTGGAGAAACCACAGAACAATCAGATCAGTTTGGAGGAGATGTGAGGAGCGATGGGAATATGCCCATTGATAAATAACGTAACGTGGTACAGCCTAATATAGCCTAGCAATGATCAACATCCAGATGGCAGTTGTCCGTCGACACGCCGGCGCCACTCAGACACATGCGGGTCCTATTTTAGTCAGTTCCTACAGAGTGATGTTTCAAATCAAATCATTTGAAAGCTATTTGCTCAAACACATGCATGAACACCACAGTCATTAGATCCTAATAAAAGTTTGTTAAAGGCCAGGTTATGTAATGTCCTTGTTTTCTAAGGGGATATTATTGTCTGCATATATTTTTGAACATGATTAAATATGAATTAGCTGCTGTAGACCTTGCAAAAACGTTCACATTAACCATTTCCAACCTAATGACTATAGCTGTACATCGGATTTAAAGTGGACTGGAGATAGCGGATCAGTATGATCCTCATCACAGTTTCAAACGCTTGGTCAAGTCGACACATATTACCACCAAATGTCTCCGTAAGTGCTGAGAGTCCAATAAACCACCAGTAACCTAGATTTACATTATCCAACGACCCGTTTCAGTGTGATTAGGTCGTTTTTCGATCTGACCTGAATTATTCCATTACGAATGCGTAATTTGCAATTGCTGTCTTGATTGATTCCAATGCAAATGAGTTGTATGACAACGAAGTACATGCACGGGCTTTCGTGCTCTGTTCGCTAATTTTACAGGTTGAATTGGAAAAAAGCAGAAGGCCGCTAGCAGTTTTAAGTAATTGGTCATTAAGCGTGGAACGCTCAGATGTTTTTGACCGTGGGTTAACTAAGAGATGTTTCCCAGCCTGATAGCTAGAATTTTACACGTCCTGAATGCTCATGAGCTGCAATGTAACTGCG